CCACGGGCGCCATGGAGAGCCTGCCGCGGCCGCTCAGCCCCACCAAGCTCACTCCCATCGTGCACTCCCCGCTGCGCTACCAGAGCGACGCCGACCTGGAGGCCCTGCGCCGGAAGCTGGCCAACGCGCCGCGGCCGCTAAAGAAGCGCAGCTCCATCACGGAGCCCGAGGGCCCGGGCGGGCCCAACATCCAGAAGCTGCTCTACCAGCGCTTCAACACCCTGGCCGGCGGCAGGGAGGGCACCCCGTTCTACCAGCCCAGCCCCTCGCAGGGCCTCACGGGCACCCTGGCCGACATGGACAATGGGAACACCAATGCCAACGGGAACCTGGGGGAGGCCAGCCCTGCCCAGCCCACGGCCCCGCTGCCCGCCGAGCCTGCTCCTGCCTCGGACGCCAACGACAACGAGCTCCCTTCCCCTGAGCCTGAGGGGCTCGTCCGTCTCCAGACCACCCCCCAGACCGTGGAGCCTGCGGAGGACAACAACAACAACGTGGCTACGGCCCTGTCCACGGAGCAGGTCCCGAGCCCCGGGGCCGAGGCCCCCTCTCCAGGGGAAGAGCCAGTTTCCCCATCACGTCCCCCCGTCGCACCCCTGCTCGCAGCCTCTTCGGTGGGTACGGGCCTCGGCAGGGCCCCCTGTGCTGTGGAGGACCCAGGCTGTGCTGGGGGCGGCGGGCGTGGCAGACAGTCCGGCCCATAGGGAGTCAGGCCCAGCCGGGAGGCCCGAGGAGGGAAGCTGCCCTGGGACCTGGAGGGAGGCCGAGCTGAGGGAGCGAGCGGCTGGGAGTCCCTCAGCTGGTGGAAGGAGCTGCCGCTCCGGAGGGAGCAGTGAAGCTGGGTGTCACCCCCTGGCTCGTGGGGTCCCCTTTAAATCCAAGCTTCCTCTTCACAGAGCAAGCGGACCAATCTGAAGAAGCCCAACTCCGAGCGCACTGGCCGCGGGCTGCGCGTCCGCTTCAACCCCTTGGCGCTGCTCCTGGACGCGTCCCTGGAGGGAGAGTTCGACCTGGTGCAGAGGATCATCTACGAGGTGAGCCGAGCGGAGCCCCTGCCTGGGCACCCCACACGCGCAGGCGTGGCTCACACACCCTGTGTCCCAGGTGGAAGACCCCAGCAAGCCCAACGACGAAGGGATCACCCCGCTGCACAACGCCGTCTGCGCCGGCCACCACCACATCGTGCGGTTCCTACTGGACTTTGGTGTCAACGTGAACGCCGCCGACAGCGATGGCTGGTGAGCCCCCCGCGGGGCGGAGGGGCCGAGGGTCTGGAGCCCAGGGAGTGAAGGGTGAGGGGACAGGGCGCCCACTCGTCCCAGGCTGCTCAGCACACCCCCCTTCGCTTTCTGGAGGATGTAAAAGGCACAGCCGTGCTTCCCTTTTCCTAAATGTGTTCATTGACTTTTTTAAAGAGAGGAAGGGAGGGGAGAGAGAGAACCATCAGTGAGAGAAACGTTAATCAGCTGCCTCCTGCTTGCCCCTACTGGGAATCGAACCCGTGACCTCTCTGCACAGGATGAAGCCCAACCAGCTGAGCCACACGGGCCGGGCTGTGGCTCAGTCTGTCCACCTGGTCATTAACACGCAGCCCGGCCACGTGTTCAGCAGTCGGACTCTTGTCAGTTTAGTGGCTGGTTCGTGGGTCGTGGCTGCGGGGTCCGGGGTCGCTGTCAGCCTCAGGCGCTGCCTACACCTGTCTCGGACCCTCAGCCGCGTCCTCCAGGATGTGTGTGAGGCCCAGGACAGGTGGTAGTGGACACCACACCACTGGAGACAGCGTGGGACCGGCGGGCACTGAGGCTCCGCAGCCCGGGGCCCTGCCACTCCAGGGGCCACACATGCCTTCACCTCCCGCCCTGCAGGACGCCGCTGCACTGTGCCGCCTCCTGCAACAGCGTGCACCTCTGCAAACAGCTGGTGGAGAGCGGTGCCGCCATTTTTGCCTCAACCATCAGCGACATTGAAACTGCTGCGGACAAATGCGAGGAGATGGAGGAGGGCTACATCCAGTGCTCCCAGTTTCTGTATGGTACGCAGGCGTCCTCTCGGCCTGCAGGGGGCGTGCGCTGGGCCTTGGCAGGAGGGTGCTGTGCAGCTGGCTAAACACAAGCTCCCGGTACTGAGGCGGCGGCCAGCCCGGGAGGCCCATGGTGGGGCAGTGACCATGGGCGGGAGGAGGGAGGCACTCAGGTCACTAGCCGGCCCCTCACTGCCATGTGTGAGTGCCAGCTGCCCTCCAAGCAGTCACCTCACTCTTTGGTCCCCGAGTTTGTGCTAGATGTGAGGTGTACGCTTCTCCCCAAGAAATACCTCTGGACTCAGACCCTCAAGCGGCAGTGCCTACCTGCGGGGTGTGGCCGTGGGCAGCAGCTGGGCCTGGCTTACGACCCACAGCCTCGCCTCGGCCTCGAGCAGAGCAGCAGTGCGTCCGGTCTGGCCCCGCAGCGGGGCTCTCGCTGCCCATCCTCTGAGGCCTGACCGCTGGCCGTCTTGCCACAGGGGTGCAGGAGAAGCTGGGCGTGATGAACAAGGGCGTGGTGTACGCGCTGTGGAGCTACGAGGCCCAGAACAGCGACGAGCTGTCCTTCCGAGAAGGTGACGCCATCACCATCCTGAGGCGCAAGGATGAGCACGAGACCCAGTGGTGGTGGGCTCGCCTGGGGGATCGGGAGGGCTACGTGCCCAGAAACCTGCTGGGGGTGAGTGCGCAGCCACGCCAAGCTTGTGCCGGAAACGGCTGTCCAGCGTGGCCCGTCCTGCTGGGGCCCGCGGGCAGGCACTGCCCTCCCCACGCTCAGTGGTCTGCAGGCGGGCGTTTGCGGTCGGCCCTGTGGGGGGCCCAGCCCAGCTGCTCAGTGGGAACTCCCTCGTGGGAACTCCCTCGGGCGCCCCATCTCACCCCAATCAGAACTCTGCAGCCCAGAAACTTGCTTACTGGGGAGGGGGGAGAGGGAGAGCCTGCGGGTCGCTGTGAGAGAGGGGGGCTCGGACCGGGTGGAGGTGGGCTGGGTGCGGGTGCTCTGGGTGTCAGACAGGGCCTCCCGGGCAGCTGATGGGAGCTGGACCTGGACGCTGTCCTTCCAGCTGTGTCCTCGGATCCAGCCCCGGCAGCGAACGCTGGCCTGAGCCCCCGCCAAGGAGCCGCTGACCTGCGTCCCTGCGCGGAAGCTGGAGTCTATGGTGCTCACGCAGCAGCAGCCCACAATGTGAACCGCAGGCTCGGGAGGCCTCCCCCAGCCGCCTCCTGAGGACTGAGCTTCGCCAATGACTGTCAACCCAAATAAACGCCCAGCTTTCTACGCCTGTTGCCAATAGAAGCCCTAGAGTGAACCCCCGGATGGTTGCCAGTGGAGACCAAGGCCTGACTGACTGGCCCCAAAGCCACCCTCATGCTCCACGTCCCTCACCAGCAGTGAGCGCGCCCGCTGCTGTGCGTGCCCCCCCGAGCCCTGCCCGCCTGCCGCTGGGCACCACAGCACCAGGTCCTTCCCTTCATGACCAGAGCAGCCTGCAGGGAAACCCTGACACGGGGGCTCCACTTCCTGTTCCGGCCCGTGGTGGGGGGCTGGACTTCAGGCCCCAGGCAGGGACCTCGAGACCAAGGCCAGGAGCCTGTCCGCACTGACCTCCGCGCTCCCTTCTCTGCAGCCCTTGCTGCCCAGGTGTGGTTCCGATCCCCGCTCAGCCCCTCGGTTTCATTAATTCACGGGAACCAGAAACAAGAGAAATGCCATTGGCTGTGCCTGGTTGGGGCTGGGTGGGCCCTGAGTGTAGGCAGACACTGCCCCCCACCAGCCAGGAGCCTGAGGTTGGTCACTCGGGTGGCATGGTCGTCAGGAGGGGTAGCTGTGGGCATGAGGGTGGGCCTCCCCGTTGGGCCAGCCGTGATGCGGTGACCTTGGCAGGCCCTTCACCGAAGGCAGCTGAAGGCACAGGCTTTTATACCAAAAGTATTTTTGACTAGACGTTTGCAACTACCAGGATGATGCTGGAGATGTCGATTAGTCTCTCTCATTAAATTCCAGGCCCGTAGGCTTTATTTTCCATGGACGAGTCTGTGTATAATTCTGTATAGACGTGTGTATAGACCGTTGCTGTACTGGTCCCCTTTAAGCATTGAGTGTACACAGTGCTGATGGAGCGTGAAGACCCCGGGGCAGCCTCTGCCGGGGTCCCCTCCACCCGATGCCGTGTAACGTGCGCAATAAACACTGTTTCCCCGTGGCTGCGAGTCTGTGTCCTGAGTGAACGGAGCCGCCACAGGGACGCGCGGTGGTCCCGACAGTGAGGCAAGGCCTGGCCCATATTCTCAAAATAGGGTTTAATCAAGCTTTATATACAAATTGTTGTACAATTGTTCTAATAAAGTGAAACAGTGAGTGAAAAGTACAAAACACACAGCTGGCTCCTCCGCCGTAGTGAAGTATCAAAGGCTTGCATCGCCCGCATTAGTGCCATAGTGCCATTAGTGCCATCTGCAGCCTGGCTCCGGCAGGCGCAGGGCAGGGCGGCCGAGCCCACGGCCCAGATCACCCGTGAGACAGTTCATGAAGACGAGGGTCCAGAGCCTCCTGGTAAACCTGGACTCGTACAAACATGGCAAAGGTTATGCTACAAACAGTTCAGCGGTCGAGTAGCTGGGGCTCCACCCCCTTAGGCATCGACAGGAAAACGCAGGCTCTAGAGCCGGAAGCTGTTTGGAGCGTTAATAAACGTGCACGTATCGCACTAGGTAAGCGCACACGACTTTCTCCGAGGTCCAAGGCCTCGCGTTGCCTTCCCACCACGCTTGGGGTCGGGGCGAGGCAGTGAGCAGGCTCCGCGCTCCAGCCCGTGCAGTTACTGGTCCCGAGATTCGTGGAGGAGCTTGGCGGCCTGCATGGCAACAGAAACAGCTGTGCTGGGTCCTGCCGGGCTGGAGCTCGGGGGGCAGCCTCGCCCTGGGGAAGCTGGGCCCCTCTCAGCAGGAGCCCAGTCTCCTGCCCGCCCCTGTGCCAACCACCACGGCCCGTACCTTGTGCATGGCTGCCAGCCACGCCGTGGCCTGCTTCCTGCTTCCGTGTGCATCCTCCCCTGCAGTCAGCTTCAGCTGGGCCACGCCCTCCGCCCCTGGGGCCGAGTACTGCAGGGACATGCCCGTGGCCCGCGCGGCGCCCCCTGGGGGAGGGAGGCAGCAGGCTCAGACGCCACTCCCTACCTTGGTGCAGGTCTAGGAGGTGGCAGGGGCCTGTGCTCAGCTGTCACCCCTGCCTGCACCAGGGCAGAGAATGGCGGTCAGTGCTGCCCACCTGAGGACCAGGGTCACGGCCGGGGGAGCTGCGCAGGGCTTAGCACCAGGGAGGCACCAGCCCAGGGGCCCATCTACCGATACTCGAGCTCCCGCCGCAATGCCACGCGGGGGACGGGGTGCAGAGATGGTGCCCATCTCTGTGGGGCCAGCTGCTCCCTGGGACGACTCCTGCCAAAACCTCCCAGGACCAGCCACTTGGGATGAGGGGCCCTTCAGTGCCCGGCAGCGAGGACGGCTATGTGAACAGCAGGCCCCTGGTGAGTCACCTACACTTTACCTGGCAGCCGCAGGAGGCCACCCCATTGGGCAGTGCTCTCCTCTGGGAGCCACTCCCTGCCTCCAGCCCTCTCTGCGCCAGGCCGGTGCGGGGAGCCCCAGCTGAGAGGCCCAAAGGCCTCCTATGACCTGTCAGGAGCTCACGCCTGCGCTCCTGTCAGTCTGATGGCTCCACCCACCTCCTGACTGTAAGGTGTTTCACTGGCACAGCCACGGACATGGGCCATCTCCTCTGGCTACTTTGCAACAGTCCCTCGGGCTGACAAACCTGAATAGTTACTACCCTGGCCTCAGGCTCCAAGGAGGTGGCAGAGGGCCCCCTGGGCTGACCTGACCCCAGCTCCTCCAGACCCTGCCCTTTGCCCCAGGGCGGATCTGACTGCCCATCGGGACAGGCAAGCCGCGGGGCCGCAAAGAGGCCCTTGGAGGAGCACAGTGCGCCCGCTGTGACGGTGAGGAAGGTGCCGGAAGGGCCATCAGGCCCTGCTCCCCAACACCCTGCACCCCACCTGCTCAGGGACAGCAGTTCCAACAAGAGGTTGGGAAACAGGGGTGACACTCTCCTGGGGTGAGGAAAACAGCAAATCCCTGTCTTCCCAGGACATTCCCGTTGGTGCTGAGATGCCAACCCTCTTACACTGGCCGAAAGGAGTCAATGAGCATTTCTCAGAGGCCCTGTGCGACCCCCCACCGCCCGCAGCAGAGGCGGGGCACGGGCCCACGGCATGCTGGGAGCGAGGCTGACCTTCGGACGCGGGCGGGCTCCCCAGGAGGCTGGTGTAAGTGTGCGTGTCTTTGTCTAGGCAGGAAGGTGGGCAGGCAGGAGAGAAGAGCAGCCAAGAGCCATCAGAGAACAGAAAGCAAGATGGATGAAGTTGGTGGGTTCCGGCGGGAAGACAGCCCCGGGGCCCAGGAGTTCAGTGGGAAAGATCCCGGCGGGCTGAGCAGGGCTGGACCTCGGGGAGTTCGCGCAGGAAAGCGGAGGCCTGGCGCTGGCAGACACACTCCAGCCCCTGGGATCTGGGTGCCGCCAGCCGCCCGTGGCCTGCAGCCTTGGCCGGAGCGCTGTGGGGGAGCTCCTGAGTAAACACGCTCAGGCGCCCTTCC